GTTTTTATTAATGATAGTGTGATGTTAAATAATATTAAATAATAACTCAAAAATTTGATATTATTTATTACTAATATGAGTTAAATAAGTAACTAATTACAACTCTATAAAATGCGAATGGAACGGTGGAATAATTTTTGGAATCTATAAAATGCGAATTTATTCGATTTTTTAGGGTTTGCTCATAACCCACTTTTGTATTCTCTCCATTACCTCATAAATTTTGAAAAACAATTCACATTTTTTATATCGAGTAGATTAGCTTTGACTATAGTTGGCAACATATTTGCGATTTTATTGCCCACACGGTTTAAGTAAATATATAGCATATTTTATAAAAATACGTCCAATAGGAAACCAATTGATTTTTATAACTCATAATAAGATTTTCTAATTAGCATGTTTACAATTTGATTCTACATAGTATATTAAATGAAAAGAATATTTTGAATATATTTTTTATAAGCCTTATTACTTATTAATAATATATTTAATTGTTAGAATAAAAATCACATCTATTAGATCATGCTCATAAACTGTTTATACTTATTTATAGATAAATGCATGCTTTTTGAATAATAATTATAATTAAAGATGAGGATAAACAATGTTTATTAATAATTATAAATTAAGATGTGAATAAATAGTATTACATAATAACTATAAATTAAAAATTTGAGGTTACATGTGATATAATGTACTTATCTTATGTAAAAAAAAAACATAAAAAATATATGTTTAAAATATTAATCACGCTGTCACATGTCTAGATCGCAAGAACTCGTAAGATCTAACTCTTGCCTAGAGAAAAATACATGTGCATTCAATTGCCTATGAATCTAGTGCACTAATTTCATATGAAAATACATAAATATGATCAAAATTGTGCCTTTCACGTTTTCCTTCATATACATAAAAAATGATGAGATCCATTAGGAGCCAACAAAATAGACATTGAGAAACTAAAGACTACAACTACATTGTACATAGATATCAATATATATATGTACTCCACATAAAACTAAATATGATATTAGCATAACAGATAAAGACATCATGTTAACTAATAAAATAGGTAACTAAAAAAAAAGTGTGTATGCATTTATTTGTAAGAAATTATGGCTAAAATAGCCTAACAACAACATTTGTGTTCTGTCAACTAACAAAATAGATAACTAAGGAAAAAATGAAGGAAATGAGTGAATTTTATATTTTAGTCATGAAATCCTTACCGAAACAGAGCAAGTACATATATGTAGGAGGATTGAAACTCCCAGTTGATACCAAAACGACATAAAGCTTCCCCCTGAATGAGTGAAAAGGACCTAAATGTTTCAAATGAATCTCATAAATAAAAGGACATTAAGTGAATTAAAGAGAATTAAAATTCATGACAAGCCAAAAGATGAATTTAAGGAGATATAAAAGGGGAAAAATGAAAAACTTAATGCAACGCTTACTTGCTCCCTGAACTTGATAAACCATCTTTATTGATACAATTCAATGAAAAATTATTCAATGGCAACTCTACATTTACAACACCCACATACGCACATCGAGAATTTTAAGCAAAGCCAAAATCTTGATAATCTTTTCATGCTTTTGCTTGGCTGTAATCTTACAAAACCTGTTAAAACCCACATATTCTTTTTTTGTTTTTGGTCTGCATGATTGTTGAAGATGATGGTTAATTTGTTACTAAGATAAAGACTTTAGTGTTCCTTTTTTGATGAATTTCACATGTTTGAATATATATTAGAATCAAACATGTGAATTACATTCGATTCTAATATATATATAAAGGCAGTAAGAGCAAAAGTTAGTTACCTATTCCATGCTGCCTATGATAGTCAAACATCAAAGTCTCAGCAATTCTTTTTCCCTCATCAATCATCATAACAGCTCCTAACACCTGCAGGGCCACAATAAATATAACGATATTAAAAAGAAAAAAAAAAAGAGAAGGATAAAAACACAAAGAAAGTCAACCATGTAAAGTGTATTTTACACAGAAAATTTGATATAAATTACCAGCCAACAAAAGCTAAAATGCCATAATAATATATACCAATAGGGTTCACATTTCCCGAGTAGGTTTCTTCCTGAGGATGCCCAAGAGGGTCACCATAAACCTCTGATGTTGATGTCAGCAAAATCCTTTTCAAACATTACAAAGTGAATTCATGGATACAATGGAAAGAATACTATGAAAGTAAATTGATCATGTAATGGAACTTCCAAACCTTGCTCCTACTCTTTTGGCAAGCCCTTGCATGTTTAGAGTCCCAATTACGTTAGTCTTTCTGGTCTGTAGAGTAACATCCCAAGGCAAAAGACAATAAATCAATACCTTCCAGAAAAAGGAATACCTTCGAAGTTGACCCTTCAGTCGCCACCTAATTCAACCATGACGATCATACTCCGATAATCCTCCGACGTCTTCACCTACTTCAGCCCCAGCGCCACCGTCACGACCTCAGCTCATCCATCGTGATGAAGCCGCCAGAGGTCATGACGGCGGGTATGAGAGAGATGGTTGGTCATGACATCAAGGCAAATGTGTTTAGAATATCAAGAAAAATGCTTCCGTTGCTGTTGATGTTAGGGTGGAATACCTTCGTCCTGAAATCAACTTGTAACAATATAAGAGTTACTCAACACTGAGTTTGACAAAACGACAGCAGTAATCAGAATTCGAGCAATTATGCTCAGGCATTTAACACTGGCATGAGAAAAAAACTACTCAATAAAAAGACAAACTTTAGGGAGTCAGAGTGCCTTGTTAACATTCGAAAAGACAACAGTTTCTTCCAGAATTCCCATGTCTAGATGGCCACTTACTATGCTAGTAACATTCGAAAAACGGCAGAGAAACAGTTTGAATACCCTTAAATATCAACCTAGCTAAAAGATAAATGACCGGTCACTTTACGTATGCTTTCTTGCTGTCTGGAACTATTATACAACCAATCTGTAACACAAATTAGGATAAGTATGCTCCAGCCATTATAGTTACTTTGCCAAACTATATGACTCACAATCAACATCATCACAGCAACACATAGTGGACCCTTTATATGAAGAGGATAAATAAAAGCACAAAAATACATCTAAATAGATTAACTGTCGATACCTTCGGTGGCTTAAAAGGATAATCTGGAGGGAAATGAATGGAAACTAAAAATACACCTCCGGAATATGGGTTGTCAGTAGGCTCCATAATTGTGGCTTGCCAGTGGAACATATCTTCAGCCACAAGACCTGCATTTAGTTAAATGGTAAACGTTAAACAACACACCCAAAATATTACAAAGATTGTATAAATCTTGAACATAAACTCAACTTTGATGTCATTTTTAGCTAAGGGGAGACTGGCAGACAGTTTCTGCAATTAAAATTTACTCATATCTTCAGAAACCACACGTCTACAGAGGCAAAAACGCCACGCAATAAGTAAATCTACCATTCCAGCTTAAAAGAAGGAGTAGAAACATGCATCTGAGTATGAACGAAAACCCTAAACGCCTCCCGCACGTCCTCTTCACCATCATCCCCCTCGTCGCCTCTGCCGTTTGCCGTCACCACCATATACAGGCACCGAACTCCTCGGCGTCCAACTGGGCATCCCGTCGGCGTCAATCTTCCCGACCAACCACTGTAGCTTCTCCGCTGGCATGCATATCCCGAGATTCTCTAGCGAATCGCTGAGCTCCTCCCGGCTGATGTTGTCGTCGCCGTCCATCGAGCATGGAGAAGAACCGATGGAGGTCCGCCGTGCCCATCTCCTCTCATGGCACCTAATTGGAGAATTGTTTTGGATTTAATTTTGATCGGTCCATCTAAATTTTTCACTCAATAATTTTGGGAGAGATGCAAGAATTATTTTGGGCGAGATGGAAAGAATTTGTTTGAATTTCATTTTGATCGGTCCATTTAATTTTGGGAGAGATGCTGATATTTTATTTTCCTTCTTTAAAAATAGATGCCGAGAGTAAATTCTCTCGTCGATTCTCTTAGTGATATTTTATTTTTTTTCCTTNAAAAAAATAATCAAATAAATGACAATAAAAGTCGATTCTCTCGTCGGAGAGTAACGATTCTCTCGCCGGAGAGTAAATTCTCTTAGTGAAGAGTGACCTTCCATATCTTTTCTATTGATTTTAGTGTGAGTGGGTGTGTATACAGGTGTGAGTATACAGGTGTGTGTGTGTTCCCGTAGTGTGTGTGTGTTCCCGTGGTGTGCGCGTTCTCTATGGCAGAAGATTTGGGGGAAAGACTGATTAACCTAAATTTATCAGCGAAGGAGGATCGTGGAGTAGACTTGGAAGATGGAGATATCAGACGGTGTGCTGAAGAATGTAAACGAAGTCTACTAGGCAAGATAATTGGGGATAGGAAAGCTAGTAAGTTTGGCATCCGGCGAACGATGGGGATTGTATGGCAGACGGCACAACCTCTTGAAGTTAAAGAATTGGGACCAAATTTTTTCCAATTTATATTTGGTTGCCAGGCAGATAAAGAGAAGGTAATGGCGGGGGTAAATTGGGTGTTTGAGAATCAGTATCTGGTGCTGCAAGAGTGGAGAGAGGATCTGGATGAACATGATGAAGGGTTCAAGGAAATTACCCTCTGGGTTCAGGTCCAAAAACTTCCTCTTCATTGGCTAAGTACAGAAGTTGGGGTGAAAATAGGGAAGTTTTTTAAAAAGGTGAAGAACGTAGTCATTGTGAAGGAGGGAGGAATTAAGGGCAGTATGCTTAGGCTGTTGGTCTCACATGATATTGCTGAAGCTCTACCTCGCTGTACTAAAATTAGACTGGGGAATCAACATCTAAATGTGATGTTTCAGTATGAGAAACTTGTTAGTTTATGCTTTTACTGTGGGTTGGTGGGACATCTGGAAAGGGATTGCAAGACTAGACTGAGACATATTGAGGAGGGGAATGTGCTGGAAGGACAGTTTGGGGAGTGGATGAAAGCTGTGGACATAGGGAGAAATATGGGGTCATCAACAACATCTAATCCTTCTCATACTTCTAATGGGCAGAGCCATATGCAGAGGCAAGGGGATACAGCACCACCAGTTAATAACTCCAAGGACCATGTGATGGGAGAAGGGAGTAATTTAAATGTAGCTCTGATTGAGATGACTGAGGGTGTGAACAGGAAGGAGGTAGAAAAAGACCTTCAATTCAGTGAACATGATAGTGGGAGCCAGAGGAATATGGTGGTGGAGGATAGAGGAAGTGCTAAGAAAAATGGGAAAGGAGTGGTGGTGGCAATAATAGAGGGTGAGCAACCAGTATCTCGAGGAGAGTCAGTTGGGAAAAGTTCTAATCTTCAGATTGGGGTCAAAGCTCCTTCAATGTGGAAAAGGAAAGGGCCAACAAGGGGGAGACTTAAAAGAACAGATAGCCCTATGGAGATTGTACCAGCACAAGGAAAGGGGAAAAGACAGAGGCAATGTTCTAACAAGACCATGGAACCTGAAGATGAGGAGCAAGCTAAAAGGGTGTGTACAGCTATGACTAATGACAATGCAAATCAGGTGGAGGTAGCCAGCCTTGAATGGCCCCAAATGAATAAATGAAGACAATCTTGTGGAACTGTAGAGGTCTGGGAGGGCCCTCTACAGTTTCCCAGCTTAAGGAAGCCATTAAGGCCCACCTCCCAAGTTTGGTGTTTTTGTCTGAGACTAGGAAATCAATGTTTTTTATGGAGACAGTTTCTAAGAAGTTGGGATTTGCTGATAGGAGAATTATAGTAGAGCCTTTAGGGTTAGTGGAGGTCTTATGTTGCTGTGGAATAAAGATGTGGAGGTGATGCAGGTAGTTAAGTATAGCTTCTGTATTCAAGTGAAGTTCAAAACTAAGCTGATGGGGAACCCGGAATGGATGATCTTTGTATATGGGAGCACAGACACTCAATCAAGAGAGTTGCAATGGCAGGAACTGGAGAGGGATAAGGACAGTTGGGGGGACAAATGGTGTATTGGGGGTGACTGGAATGCTATAAGAGGAAGTAGTGAGAAGAGAGGGGGGAGGATCAGATCTGAGAGAAGTTTTGACAGATTCAATGACTTTAGTGCTAATATGGGAATGATGGAGCTGGCCATGGAGGGCTATCCTTTTACTTGGGGTAACAATAGGCAGGGGGAAGGGTTTGTGGAGGAGAAGTTAGATAGAGTTTTTGGATCTTTTGCTTGGGTGTCTTGCTATTCAGGTGCCAAAGTTCTCTCTCAGTTCAGGAGTGCATCTGATCACTCCATGCTGATTCTGGATACTGGCATTCAAGAACCTAAATTTTTCAAGAGGTTTGTTTTTGATAAAAGGTGGGTGCAGAGAGAAGGGTGTGCTGAAGAAGTGGAGAAAGCTTGGAGTGAAGAAGTGGTGGGTAATCCAATGGTACAAGTTAGAGAGAAGATTAAGAAAACTAGGATGGCCATCATCAAATGGAAGAAAGTCTTTCAATCAGATAATGTGAAGAAAATTGAGGCTCTGACATTAAAATTGGAGGAGATGAGGGTGTTAGGGGGTAGAGGAACTGGGAAGAGTGGGAGAAAATCAAACAAGAACTGGATCAATCACATATGGAGGAGGAATTGTTTTGGAGTCAAAAGGCTAGGCTACAATGGTTGAGAGAAGGGGACAAGAACACTAAGTTTTTTCATGCTATGACCTTACAGAGGAGGAAAAGAAATGCAATTGAAAGATTGGTGGTGGATCAGAACAGAATGGTGGATTCTCAGGAGCAGATTGAGTCAGCTATCACTGATTTTTACCAGAAGTTGTTTGAATCTGAGGGATCTTGGGGAGAGGCTGAAGTGCTATCATTAATTCCTCAATCAATTACAGCTGCAATGAATGAGGTTCTAATAGCTCCTGTGGAGGAAGAAGAAGTGAAGGCTGCTCTATTCTCTATGAATCCAAACAAGGCTCCAGGTAATGATGGCATGACCCCCCTTTTTTATCAGCATTTCTGGCCTTTGTTGAAGGAAGATATATGTAATGCTGTCTTATTCTTTTTTGCTTCTGGGAGAATGAGTACTAGTTGGAACCATACTGTGGTGACTTTGATTCCTAAAGTGGATAATCCAATTTCTATCAATCATTTTAGGCCTATTAGTCTCTGCGGTGTTACATACAAGATAGTGGCTAAAGTGTTGGCTAGTAGATTGAGAGAGTGTTTGAAATTCTGCATTCATGAAACACAATCTGCTTTCATACCTGACAGACAGCTCCTTGATAATGTGGTAATTGCCCATGAAGTCATTCATTTTCTCAATAGGCATAGGTCTGGTAATAAATGTTTTATGGCCGTTAAGCTTGATATGATGAAAGCATATGATAGGGTGGAGTGGAATGGTGTGGTGAAGACAATGCTCCAAATGGGTTTTCATAGAACTTTTGTTCAGTGGATCTTTGCTTGTGTCTCAACTGCAGTGTATTCTTTTAATGTTAATGGAAGAGTATCTGGTTTTGTCACTCCATCTAGGGGTATAAGACAAGGGGACCCTTTGTCCCCTTATCTTTTCATTATTATCTCTGAGGTGTTTTCCCAGTTAATCAGAACTGCAGTGAGGGAGAAGGATATTCAGGGCCTGAAAATTTCTAGAGGTGGAATCACTTTATCTCATCTTTTGTTTGCTGATGACACTTTGGTGTTTTGTGCTGCTGACATTCCTAATGCATTAAGTCTGTTGAGAATTCTTACAGTTTATCAGAGTTTTACTGGGCAAAGGGTGAATCTCTTCAAGTCTAATGTGTTTTTTAGCAGAAATACTAGTGATTTGATGAAGCAAGCTGTCTGTCAGACTCTCCATGGGATTTCAGTGTGTTCCTCAACTAGGTACTTGGGATTGCCAATGGGAATGGGGAGGTCCAAAAAAGAGGTATTTCAGTTTGTTTTGGATGCTGTGAGGAAGAGAATTCATAGCTGGTCTAACAAGTTTCTGTCCAAGGCCGGGAAGGAGGTTCTGATGACTTCTATTATTAATGCTCTTCCTGTCTTTGTAATGTCATGCTTTTGCTTGCCTGCGAGTATTTGTCAGGATATTGCTAGAATGAGTGCTGAATTTTGGTGGGCTGGGGGTTCTGATCATAAGAGAGGGTTATTTTGGGTGGCTTGGAAAAAAATTACTATCCCAAAAGAGGCAGGGGGGCTGGGGTTTAAAGATGTTAGGTTGTTTAATGATTCCTTAATTCTTAAGCAAATCTGGAGATTATGTACTAAGCCTAACACTTTGATGACTAGAGTGCTTAGAGACAAATACTTTCCTTCTGGTTGTGTGTTAGAGGCTAAAAAACATAGTTCTGCATCTTGGCTTTGGAATTCTTGGATGAAAGTATTAAACCTGTACAGGGATTGCTTCACAAGGAAAATAAAGGATGGCCTGAATACTAACATCCTTTCTTATCCTTGGGTGAAGGGGCTAACTGCAGGTAAACCAGTTCTGAAAGAAGGGGTGAGATCACTGCCTTGTGTTTGGGTGAATGAGTTGATGACAGGTGATGGCAGAGCTTGGAATAGAGAACTGATTCAAAACCTTTTTACTGAAGCATCTTGTAAAGCCATTCTGGAAATTAAAGGCTTGGATCCTGCTGCAAGAGATAGATGGGTGTGGACAGTGGATTTGAAAGGTATGTTTTCTGTTTCCTCAGCTTATTCAGTAGCAGTAAAGAAGAAGATTTTGAGTCTTGATATACCAGGGTGTAGTTCTAATATTACAGCTGATAAGAAGGCTAGAATGCGGTGTTGGAATCTGAGGGTGAAAGGCAAGATTAAGCATTTTATTTGGAGGTGTTTTACTGATGTTTTACCTGTTAATGATAATCTGAG